GTATATCCTCTTCTTTCATTTGATGCAACTCATATAATGTATATTTCACGCATAAGTGATTAAAAGCAATTTGAAGGAAGGAAACCAAAAAGTAAATTGGCGGGCGGTATTAGAATTTCGAAGAAAAATTCACATTTCTAGAAAGTTTATTTCATATGACACCTGAATCAGGAAAAATGAGCCAGGAATAACAAAGTTCCGTTTGATTAAAATGATGATCGCATTGCAGGTGGAGAAAGTTCGCTATTGAGAGTGGTCGGTGTAAAAATGTCAGAGGTAAACAAATGTCAGAGGACTAAAAGAAAGTCAGAGGTATAAACAAATGACGGGGTAAAAATCAAGGCCGTCGTAATATCCCATCAATTTATCACACAAAATATCGACACGTTAGTTACTTGGCTAGTCTATTATATTGTCTTATTCCATATCCGCATAATGCATATAATGACTGCGTCTTGTGCTTCGTAAATCTCCTGAGGATAATGCAATGTGGAAATAAATGTAAAACTTATATTTTGTGATCAGGTTTGCATATATGGGGCTCGGTTTGCGATTCGACATCAAAGTTTTCGACATCCCAAGATTTTCCTTAGTTGGTAAATGTAGGTGTTTTTCCTACAACGCTATTATACCTCCCACAATCATATGTAAACAAAAATTATATATATATATATATATATATACTTAGCTTTGCTCTATCCTTCCGTACAGTGCTCAATGCCTATAGGAAGAGCAAAAATATATATTGAATAAGGCAGACTAATAGAACACGCTTGCTACTCCGAGTGTAACGCCTTGCGAGCGATCATCAGGCAACTGCTAGCATCTTTAGAAGTACATGATTACTCTACAACCTAGGTGAAAATACGTTCAAAATAGAATACAATGATATTTACCCATGGGTGAAGGGGCTATTGTAATTGCTCAGGTACTGCGATGGATTTCTGTATAATCCAAAAACCTCGATGCTTTTCTATTTTCCATACTTCTGTTTTTTATTTGCTAAATGTCAGACTAGAAAATCTGTCGAATAGCCCTAGCATATCAAATAATACTTCAACTGAATACAAATCTTTAAATGTGCAGAAAAAAGTTTCTGCTAATTATGATAGTTTTGATTCACTTGAGCCAAAAGTAACATCTGTCATTTCTATCGTATTTATGTTATCTATTTTTAAATGAGAAGCTATAATTTCAATTGCAATCAGAAAAAGGTACAGGGATAAAGGGACTTCTTGTCTTACTCCTTTGTAGATAGGATACAACCAGGTTGAAGTGCCATTATTAAGTAGACATCCTTCAACGTTTGTTTGAACCCATTCAATAAATGTTGGACTTAAGCCTACAGACCCCAGTGGTTTATAAACAAAAATACATGGTCTATTAAATCGAAGGCTTTCCTAAAGTCAGTTGATTTCATACAAGTATTCTTGTTTTCAGTATTTAAGTTATAAAACATATCCTGTACATTTCAAAAAGCTTCCGCTATATTATCTACCCTTGATGAAAACATGTTGTTCTGGATGAATAATCAATTGTATCACTTTCTTTAAGCGTGTTGCAAGTAATTTTGAGCTAATGATTACATTGACATTTACCTATAAGATAGGTCGGTAATTCTCTTCTTTAAAAAAAAAAAACCTTTTTTGGTTATTAAATAATTCGATAACGCTTTGATTTTGACAAGCAGACAGTTTTGGGCCCATAGTAAAGGAGCAGATACAATGTCCCAGAAATTGACATAGAATGCCTTTGTGAGTCCATTGTTTACTGGTGATTTTCCAGTTTGCATTTCACTAACAGTTGCCTGGCACTCTGCTACTGTTAACTGACTTTCACAAATCTCCCGAAGTTCTTCTTTCGAGTGATGCACAGGACTGAGTGTACACTGCGCTCCTCCGGGTGGTCTGCCTCCTTTCATGAGCTTGGTGTTGAGCAGCCTCCAGGCTTAATCCAGAGTCTCGGCGGATTTGGTCTATCCACCTCAGGGGAGGACGTCCCGGTGCCCTTTGTCATTGGTGTGGACTTGTATTGGTATTGCGTTTCTGTGGCATACATGCAACATGTCATAACCATTTCAGAGGGTGGTTGGATATTTCCTCATATATTGTCGTAAATATGTTCAGTGACTTTCGGATGTCTACACTTCTAATTCTAGCCAGAAGATGGACTGCTGTTTTTTCCGCAGACATCTCCTCTCGAAAGTTTCCAATATATCTCGCTCAGTTTCCTTAGATTCCACGTCTCTGACCCATATGTGGCTACAGGAGGAAAGAGTGCTTTATATATCCTGACTTTCAAGGCTCTTGAAATATCTTGGTTGGTCCATATTGTTTCTCGGTCACCCAAATGCTCAGAAAGCTAGATTTACGTGACTCTTGACATCCGTGGTAGCCGAGGGGACTACACTACCATAGAAGACACAATTTTCTACCTTCTCTATAGTATTGCCATTGATTGAAATCTCCTCATCATCCTTTGTCATGATTGTGCATTTAGCTGTGCTGATTTTCATTCCCCAATATACCACATTTTCCCACCAGCTTGTTAGTTGATGTTTGGAGCTTGTCGTAGATGAGTTCGAGTAGAGTGGTGTCATCTCTATAGCGGATGTTATTAATGCGCATGCCGCCCATCTGAACACCATGGTCTAGGTTTTTTTTAAACATTGATCATCACTTACTCTGGGAAGATGTTAAACAGACTTGGGGAAAGCCTAACGCCTGTCATAACTTGGAGCAATTCCGTGATGTTACCACATCACATGATTGTTGACAGCACAATTGGTCTGATCATACATATACTTAATGAGGTCAACCTGATTTTTCAGGCACTTCCTAGAGCTTCCTTCCAGACAGTATCGAATGTTGCTGTAAAGTCCACAAAGTTCTGCTCTGCTGACATTGCATCAGATCACAACCTCATTTTAGCCAATGTACAGTTTCAACCACCAAAAGCTAGAAGAATAAAAAGCGTACAGAAGTCATATGATGTGGGCAGGTTTAAAAACCCATCTGCTGCTGAAGAATCCCTAGCTCGAATTGATAGAGCGTTTGAACAGTTGTTACAGCTGGAAGATACAGACGTATATGAGCTCTGGCTTAAGTTCATGAATGCAACCAATGAGATTACTAAGCAAGTTGTTGGCATCAGGAGAGGGAAACTAGTGAATCATCTCACAGAAGATGGGAGAGATGCCTGTGAGCTCAGAAGGAAAACTAGAGTAACTAAACTGAACTAATCTTATAATAATCAAAATATTATGAAGGAAGTAAAGACGCCTTAAAAAAAATCATATGTGAAGTCAAAAAGTGGAAGAGGGAGACTATCAAGAAAGAAGTAAAAGAACAGATTGGCATCCCTTGCCCTTTAAACGTGTCTACCCTTTATTACAGATTCAACATTTTGACAGCCAAGTATAATCTATTTGGTGGACAAATGCCCATATTAAATTAATCGGATCAACTTGCCACGATTAAGTTAACACTCCCTTCCACCGACCCAGTCTTACTCAGTGTAACTTCCGGAAGTCAGGGGCGGATCCAGGATTTTCCAAAGGGGGGGGGGAGCCTTAAAATATACGAAATTGCGAACACGAAGCCTCTTCGCATTTCTGAATGAATAAACTGAACAAATATTTATGTGAATTATTTTGGGTTATTTTTTGTTGATGCCCCCCCCCCCCCTGTCGCCAGTGGTAACTTGTAGGGTTGTAGTAATTGTCCGCGGGGGGGGGGGGGGGGTAATTTAACGGGTGGTTATTTTCCAGGGGGTAGTTTTCCAAGGGGTTATTGTACAGAAACGCAAAATAACAATCTAATCCATACTCAATTTTCGAACTACTCAATATTAAATGAGGACTAAAAGTTAATAATGGGGTGATGTGCCACATTTATGTTAAAATTCCCTCATAAATAAGCAACACTTTCTCACTCTCTTTGTCTCTATTTCTATATTCATCATGACTCTACTTATGTTGATTTATCCTTGTAATGCAGGAAAACAGGGTTATGATGAATTGTCAATAATTTACTATTAGTTTGACACCATAACAATGATTGGACACTGAGATTAGTAACAAAATTAACTACGTGATTCCCTTCCTCCCCGCGTCTCCCCCCCTCTCTCTCTCTCTCTCTCATCTGGTTCATTGCAAAGTCCGTTTGCAATACGTTAATCCATATTTTCCACTCTCCACCCAGGTGTAAATTGGTAACTGACAGTTCGTGAGGTAATACTAATAGCAGGGCCCGCATGAAGAGCAGTATTAACCCCGATGTGCTACCATAGGTACATAATCATTATTTATTCATTTTCAATTTTAGGACCATTAGCACATTGTGTGAGGAGTACGGATCAGAAGAAATGAAAAAATATTAAGGCTGCCTCCTGACCTGTTCTTGATCTGCAGCAGATAGCATGCGGTGGTCGACAGCACGAAGGAGAATATACCCGACTGGAAGCTCACCCTCTCATCTCGTTATACTAGGTTACTTTAGTAAAATAGAGCCATAACCATGAGACAAAATGCTTGTAATAACATTATATACTGTTTCTGAATGACTACCGATAAGACGTCTCGCATATTCTCTAGTCAACGGGCTAAATTTCTCCATTGATGTAGGCATATTAGTGTTGTTTGCAACATATATCATATCAGTGCATATTGAGATATCACAATGGCTACTTTGGAAAATAGAATTTCACGCGATTTGCAGTGCCCTGTTTGTCTAGAGCTGCTTAGTGACCCGAAACAATTATCATGTACACATGCGTTCTGTAAGAATTGCCTTAATGATATTCTTGAAAGCTCTTCACAAATTGCTCTAACATGTCCCATCTGTCGAAGCGAAACACCTGTAGAAGATGGTAATGTCTTGAATCTAAATACTAATGCTCCTCTTCAGTCTCTCATTGATGATGTGAACAATTGTGAGCAAGTTTGTGACGTGTGCGAGTCGGAAGCTGTACATGTTTGTTGTTGTGAGTGTGATAAGAACATGTGTAACAAATGCCTCGAGATTCACAATAAATGGCCGCCTCATGTCAAGCATAGAGTTGTGAGAATAGAAGACGTCAGAGAGGGAAGGGTGGTCCTCGAAAAAGAGGTTTATTGCCAAGAACACAAAGCAGATAAACAAAAACACCTCTGTACTGATGTGTGTATCACCTGTAAGAAGTTCATCTGCATGAGATGTAGGTTGCTGAGTCATGAAAATCAAGGCCACACAGTTCAGAATACTGAGGAATACAATGCTTCTACCGAGATACAAATTGTATCTCTACAATCCCGAGGCGAGGCGAAAGCTACAACCATCAAGAACCACGTGACCTGCATCAAGAAACAGAAGGAACGTGTCACTGATCACATTGCAGTAAAAAAGGCGGAAATCAACAAGACTTATCAAGAATCACTCAAGAAATTAGACGAGAGGAAAGCAGCACTAGAAAATCAATTGGACGCTCAGAAAGTTAAATTATGTAAGAAATTTGATGAGATGAATGATGTTGATGGGAGGTTAATTTCGAGTATCGAGAGTGCGAGTGCGTTAGCGAGTAATAGCATGAAGGCTCCATTAGAAGGCGATATCATTGTTATTCGTGATACATTGTCTGGTGAGCTGAAGAATGTACTAGATAGGGATGATCCAGAGAAGAAGCTTGGTACGGAATTAGCTGACCTTGCAGAGCAACTGATATTCACACCTAACAATCAATATAATCAGTTGAACATTGGTGAGGTCAGGTTCAAGACGTGTGAGTTGGAATGTGATGTAGAACTCTCTAAGAAAGGTCACATGAATGGCATGGCTGCAACAACCGATGGAAGAATGGCAGTGGGATACAGCAAAAAAGGAATTGATATCTTCTCTGCTGATGGTCAGTTGCAAAAAACAGTCCTCAAGGATGTCGTGATCGATGATGTAGGATACCTGTCTGATGGCCGGTATGTCGACACAGATCCCCTCACACTGTACACACGGGAGTATGTGAAGCTGGATCTAATATTTGATACTCTGAGTAAAGATGAAGGTGGGACCCGTAGTCTCACCGTAGACAGTAATGATCTGATCTATGTCGGCTACTGGAAAGCCAAGAAGATCCAGGTGTTCTCACCAGATGGTGGGAAGGTGATCAGGGAGATACCATGCGATGGGTACATACCTCATCAGATTACTAGTTATAATGACGTATTAATCATCAGGTATGGTAATACAGCAATGATAATTGACAAAGATGGCATTGTGAAACACAAGGTAGAGAAATCGGGACTAACGGCATACGCTGCTGTAACACAGAATAATTCAATCCTAATCGCCTGGGTCAATCATGATGATGGGTTGGTTAGTATAGATGAGTACACCAGCGAGCTCAAACACGTTCAGACTCTCATCTCTGATCACAAGATTGAGAAGTCTGAGAGAAGCTGGTACGTTCTCCGCGAGTTCCGATCAGGGGAGATTGCTTTCTGTACTCCTGATAGACTCTATATATTCAAACTAACCATCACACCATGCAGTCCATGAATGATAACAGTCCCGTTTCAGGCGACTTCACAATTATGCAATGATTTAAAAATGTATCCTTACGTGATGTATTATGACTCTCAATTACCTTAGGTGATTTGTAGACAAATTCTCCTGAAATTCAAAATGCGTATACTATAAAATGACTTTTGATTTAACTAATTTTAAAGGTATGGTCTCAATTCATTTTTTTGTGTCCAGTTTTCTTTAATTATTGTTGTTTAACGCAACAGAACGACATGGTGATCCCTTCCGATTCACAGATTAGAAGCAAAAACTGTTCATTCTATTACCGAAGAATATGTTTGTGTATGGAAAAAGCCTCTGTCATCTAAAATGAAGCAAAGAAACGGAGATGCCAGTCATCTGGATTTTAATCATAATGTCAAAAAGTATCTTATTGTATTTATTAATAGTGTCACGTGAGTGACTTCTTTTAAGTTATTTAAATTGCTACCTCATCAGAAACCACAGCAGAAAACAATTGTATAAAGGTATAATGAAGTTTTAATCTTCAGCCTACAAATCGTTGCGTCAAAAATCAACAGAACATAATCAATTTACTAGAACATAACTTTAGTGCACGGTAGCTTCCATCTCGCGAGTCCCTCACAGCTGACGGTCGCTTGGCCAGTCTCTAGACTGCGTAGAAATCCCGTCGACTTGGCAGCTCATCTCTAGGGACTTTTAGATTGAGTGGACGAGAACACGACGAACGCCGACTGATCATGCGTGTCAACGTACTCAACTGCCCATGTTGACTATTAGAAATTATTAGAAATAATTAGAAATCTTTTAGATTGCACTCGACGATATACATGCATGCAGGAAGTAACACTATGAACATGACAGACAAAGAAAGAGAACAAAATATAAAGCTCCTCATCCTACCCTCAACAATAGGCCATTTTCGTAATGTAACCAAATTTAATGCATAGGTCTTTGTGAAGTGCCTCAATACAAATTATTTCATTCACCTGATAGGAATAATAGTATTTCAATAGTCAGAATGCAACTGCATATATTAAGTGTTGCAAGGTAGGTATAATGTTTGTCCAACCTGGCAACAACTAATGTATGCAGTTAGGATTCTGTCTATTGAAATACTATTATTCTTATCTGGTGAATGAAATAGTTTGTATTGAGGCACTTCACATAGACCTATGCATTAAATTTGGTTACATTAGTTGGAAGTATGTTGATGACGTAACTATTGCTGAAGTTATCCATAAAGCAGAGCCAAGTCATCTACAGTCTCATGTGGATGCGCTATCTGCATGGAGTGAGTTGAATTCAATGAAACCAAAACCTGAAAAATGTAAGGTGATGCATGTAAGTTTCCTGCGTAATGGTCCACCTTCACCGGTGATTACTATTGGAAATCAAGTTTTGGAGTCTGTAACGTCGCTTCGCCTGCTTGGTGTTATCATTCAGACAAACCTAAAGTGGGATCTACTAGTGGAACAGGTCATCAAACGTGCATCCAGACGTTTATATATTCTGTGCAAATTGAAGAGGAATGGAGTTCCAACCAGTGATCTTGTGCTCATATACACAATGTATATCCGACCATTGATGGAATATTGTGCACCAGTGTGGAGCAGTAGCCTGACAACACAGCAGTCAGATAGCATAGAGCGGATACAACGTAGATCACTCAGGATGATATCTTACCCTGATCAACAGCACTATGAGGAACTCCTGAGCAGCTTCGACATTCCCTCCCTTGCCAGGCGAAGAAGTAAGTGACTTACTTATCAACTTTGCCAAATCAATCCTTGTCTCCTCGCGACACCGTGATTTGCTTCCGGCAGAACGACAGCATCTCTCGCGAGGTGGACTTAGGAATTCTAACCACCTACACATTCCTTATGCAAGAACTGAACGATATAGAAAATCAAGTGTCCCCACACTTGTCAAACTGGTCAATGCTCAGTTGTAGATCATCTATAGTAATATATCATATTTGTTTTCTTCTCTTTTTTAATGATATTGGAGTTATTGTTTTGTTACTTTGTTTAATTCAACTCAAGATCGATCCAAAATTCAAAATTCCGTGCACATTTTATTGAGTGCTCTTCATTTTTCTTATGAAGTTGTTCTTAAACCACCGTGTATAATTCTGCTGCAATAACATGATTGTAACTCAACTCCAATTTAAAATTTAATGTGGAAACTCAACAATTATGAGAATTTGTGTATGCTCATGGGCACTATACATCACTTTATATGAAATGCTTTAATGATATATTCTTAATGTAATAATTATATTCAACATAATTTGACCTTACCTGTCACACAACAGACACACCTGCATGTATAATTTTTCAGTCTATGGATCTCATGTTAACAATTGCAATATAATAATTTCCTCTCTCTCTCTCTCTCTCTCCCTCTATATATTATGTATATATATATATATATTTTTTTTTTTTAAATAGCTGTTAAATTTAAAGATTATTTGTACTTGCAATAACTGGTTCAACATTTATTATCATCCATCTATTATCATTTATTTATATATGTATATAACTTTAGGTATGAGCAATAATTTTAACTTTATCTTTTATCATTTTTATTGTACATTTATATGATCATTCCTGTTTTTATGCACATTTTATGTAAACATTGCATTATTGGTCCCTGGACTACTGCATTGTACATTGTATATGTTGATATTAATAAACCGAAATTGAATTGAATTGAATTGAACATTACGAAAATGGCCTATTGCTGTGGAAGAACATCCCTTCACTGCTTTTATGTAAAAATGTGTAGAACAGGTGAATATGCATGTGACACCTGTTCTACATTTTGTACATAATAACAGGGTAGGGATGTTCCTTTGTCTACCTGAGGAACTGTATATTTTATGCGCACGCGGCATATACTAGTAACGTAAGTATTTAGGAAAACCAAGGTTGACACCCTCTCGATCGCCGACTGAGACGACGTGACGCATGCGCAATGTCTTTAAATGACGTCAGTGGCGGATCCAGGGGGGGGGGGGGCCGAGGGGCCCGGGCCCCCCCCCCCCCTTGAGAAAAAAATCATGTAAAATCACGTGATTTTTACCTTTTTGGGGGGTTGGGCCCCCCCCCCCCCCCCTGGCGCTCAAGGGGGGGGGGGTGCAAATTGAAAAAATTTTGAGGATAAAAAAAAAATGTGCTCCGGAGGCCCTCTCAAAGCGCTTTACAGATGTATATATTATTACCCCGGTCATAGGATTCAGGCTTACCCGCACACAATGTATGCACATTCTCCACTCCCTGGGGAGCATTCCAGCCAGGCGTCTTTTTTACAAGCGCACACATGCTAATCTAACCACATTAGCTTTCGCATCCTACCGGGTACCCATTTAACACCTGGGTGGAGAGTGGCAAATGTAGATCAATGTCTTGCCAAAGGACATTAGTGCCGCGGTGGGACTTGAACCGCGAACCTTGTGATCCACAGTCCGGTGACATATCCACTCGTCCACGACACCTCTACATTATTCTAAAGCAACTTCCCTTTACCCTATCTTTGCCAGGTCCTTAGCGAGCTATTTTTATTTATATTAACATTCAATAGCCAACCCAAAAGCATGCATAACAAAAAAAAACATATAATGCAAATGTATGCAATAATGCATCCTACGCTTGGCTACCTCTAACTGACCTTTGAGTAGTACATTTCCCTTCTCGTCTGGAACAAATTCCTTTCATGACAGATAGCCATCAATATTCTGGTCATAAACACATAATAGATTACACATCATGTCATTAATAAGTATTTCATACATATTTCATGTAAATGTATATACACCTTTGGCCATCAATCAATGGCAATGAAAAACTGGACTACCGATGGAATTGAATCTAGTCAATTCAAGTAGAACAGGCTGTAACACCTTATTTATCACCTTGTGTATCACGTGAGTTCTCGAAATAAACATTTCGTGACTTCTGATGTCATAGGGTTTACGGAAATAATCGCGATAAAAACTGTTACCTACCATATCAAAACCTTTCTTTGGTTTTCACCTTCCTGATGTTCGTGTCAAAAATGACTTTGATATTCCTGGCTCATTTTCCTGATTGAGGTGTCTATGAAAGGGCAAAATATTGACTTTCTAGAAATGTGATTTTCTCTTAGGAAGTCAGATATTGTTCGCCAAATGACTTTTTGGTTCCTTTTCTTCAAATTATTGTTAATCACTCATGCGTGAAATATGTATCATATGAGTTGCATTAAATGAAAGAAGAGTGTCCAAGCTTTACAAACATGTGTCATTTATTAATTATAATTGTGATTCAGTTTTGATAAAATATCGATAATTCTTGGTTTTGCTTTTTCTTGGACGCACTGTGTATGCTTGTTTTCTTCTGTTGGAAATGGCACTGTTTAAATCAAAACTGTCATATTTAATTATGGCATGCTTATCTCTTCATTTTAATTAAACTTTGTATATAGAAGCTTACGTTGAACCCGAATACTAGGAAATTTATTGACGGGGTTCGATTATTGTTATTGTGTATTCACCTCGTAATTAGACCATGAAGATGTCATTAAAGATTATGTTATAGTATGATCAAGATAAATGAAGCCATTGGCCATTTTAGAATGATATTTTGAATTAAGCAAGTCTTCATGAAGCTAGCCCTCGACATGTCTTTAGCCTCTGTCGGCTCCTCCACTCTGAATTTAGCTATTCATTTTAATTCATTCTCTCACTTATCAGCTTGAGTACCCGTATAATTAAATGTGTATATGTTTATAATTTGTATTTCCAAGAATATGCGTGTATTGTTGTTGACTGTTTGTTATAAGTGGAAGTAAACTGGAAGCTGGAAATTTAGATATGTATATAACTATGAAGGAATGTTTGATGAAAAAGTAGTCATTATATTTATATACTGATGATATCTAGCTGCATTGTTTGAATTACACACTCATGTAAAAAGATTGAAGCTATATAATCATTCAACTGTGTGTTTAATACATGTATAGCTGGAGAC